CTTCACTCCCCTCCCCTCTACTTTTTTCTACTCTACTCTACTACACTTTACTCTACTCGACTCTACTCGACTCTACTAAACTCGACTCTACTAAACTCGACTCTACTAAACTCGGCTCTACTCAACTCGACTCTATTTAACTCGACTCTACTTAACTCAACTTTACTGTATTCTGCTCTATGCTACGCTACTCGACTCTACTTTGCTTTACTATTCCATACTGTACTTTACTATACTCTACTTGTCTCTACTCTAGTGTACTTTGTGCTACGATACTTTGATGTACTCACTCTACTCTACTCTACTCTACTCTACTACTCCACTTTTCTCTACTTCACTCCACTCAACTCTACTCTAGTCGACTCGACGCAACGTGACCCAACTCCACTGTACTTTATGCTACACTACTGTAAGCTACGCTACTCTACTTTAACCTACTTTGCTTTACTCTACCTTGTTACTTTACTCTGTAGTACCGTACTCTACTCTACACTTCTGTGCTCTACTATATTGTACTATATGTTGTGATACTCTTATCTACTCACTCTATTTTATTGTACTCCACTTCACTCCACTCCACTCCACTCTTTTGTATTCTACTCCACTCCCCTCTACTTTACTTTTCTCTACTCTACTCTTCTACAGTCCACTTTACTCGATTCTACTCGACTCGACTTTACTCCTTTTTACTTTTCTCTACGCTATACTACTCTACTTTACTTTGCTTAACTCCTCCGTAATCTAATCTACTATACTCTACTAATCTGTACTCTACCGTACTTTATGCTACTCACTCTACTCCACTATACTCTACTATTTTCTATTTTAGTCTACTCTACTCGATTCTACTCCTCTCTACTTTAACCTACTCTACTCTATTTTAGGATACTCTAGTCTACGCTACTCTACTTTACTCTACGATACTTTATGTTTCGCTACTCTTTTCGACTCTTTTATCTTCTACTTTTCTCTTCCCTAAGCTTATCTTCCCTACTCAACTCTACTATATGATATTTAACTCTACTCTGGTCTACTTTACTCTACAATACTATACACTTCCTTACTCTTCTCAACTCTACTTTTTTCTACTATTTTTTCCCTAAGCTTCTCTTCCCTACTCTTCTGTACTATACGCTTCCCTGCTTTGCTCTACCCTACTCTCCCTAACTCTACTCTACTCTACTCTACTCCACTCCACTATACTCCACTCTACTCCATTCTACGCCACTCCACTTTACTCTTCTCTTCTCTACTCTACTCTCCTCCACTCCTCTCTGCTTCACTCCACTCCTATATACACTACTCCACTTCACTCCGCTGCACTCAACTCTGCTTCACTCCACTCTTCTCCACTCCACTCTCCTCCTTGTCACTCTACTCCACTCCACTCCACTCCACTCCACTCCACTCTTATCCACTCTACTCCACTCGACTCCACTCTACTCCCCATTCTACTCCGCCCCACTCTACTTCACTCTACACCACTTGACTCAACTCTACTCCACTCCACTCTACACGACTTGACTCGACCCCACTCCACTCCACTTTACTCCACTCCACTCGACTTTTCTCTTCCCTACACTTCTCTTTTGTACTCTTCTCTGCTTAACACTTCTCTACTCTACGTATGTCTGCTCTTCTCTTCCCTACGCGTCTCTTATTCTTCTCCATTGTACACTTCCCTACTTTATCCTTTTGTGCTCTGCCCTACTCTGCTCTGCTCTTCTCAGCTATGCTCTGCCCTACATTATTTTGATCTGCTTTCCTCTTATCTTCTCTTCTCTGCTCTACACTCCTTCACTCTGATTTGCTCTACTCCACTCTGCCTTACTCTACTCCATTTTGCTCTACTCTACTTCACTCGCCTCCGCTCCACTCGCCTACACTCTCCTCCACTCCACTCCATTCCACTCCACTCCACTCTATTTTAATCTACTCCACTCCAATTTATTCCACTCTGCTCCACTGTACTCCACTCTACTTTACTTTTCTCCATTTCACTCTACTCCACTCCACTCCATTGTACTCGACTCCACTGTACTCCACTTCACTCCATTGAGTCACTCTATTCCACTCCAATCTACTCCACTCGACCCAACTCTACTCTACTCTACTCTACTCTACTCTACTTTACTCTACTCTACTCTACTCTACTTTCCTCGAGTCTACGTTTCCCTACTCTTTTTTACGCAGCGTCTACTCTTCGCTACTCTATCTTCTCTACGCTTCTCCACTCCACACTTCCCTGGTCTTTGCTTCCCTGCTTTGCTCCTCTTCTCTTCTCTTCTGTTTTTTACCCTGCTCTACACTACTCTCCTCTACTCTGCCATGATCTGCTCTGCCCTGCTTTGCCATGATCTGCTCTACTATGATCTGTGTCGCCCTTCATCATAGTGCGCCTAGTTGCTGACTTGAATGGAACGAAAGATCTTCATATTGAACTGTTTTCTTTGTATGCTGGTGTTGTTCTTTTTTTATTCTACACGTTGTTCTTTTGTTGCTCCTCTCTCTCTCTCTCTCTCTCTCTCTCTCTCTCTCTCTCTCTCTCTCTCTCTCTCTCTCTCTTTTTTTTTCTATTCTTTCTCTTTCTTTCTATGTCTCTCTTTCCTCCCCTTTTCTCCTTCTCTTTTTTCTTTCTGAAATTTTCCATCTGTCGCTTTTTTAATTCGTTGGAGTCGGTTTGAGGATATTCTTTATTACCGTTTGATTTTTTATTATATTTTTAAAAAAGGGTATCTGAGTTTATGCCAGCGGTCAGTGTGAGGTCACCCACTACATTTGTTGTTTTTGTGGGCTTAGATATGGACCCCACCGCCCAAAGTCTAGAAAAGGCAGTTTCCGTGGTAAAGCGACGCGGAAGTCCTGGAAGGTTTCAGAAAAGAAAAGACGGGACCCCACCGAAGTGCCTCTTTTCCAGACTTTTGGAAGAGTTCTTCCAGACTTTCGGACCAGTTTGGCTGTTTTGTCCGC